TCCCAGCACCAAGCTGCATTGTACATCCAATACAACATGTATATAGAGAGCACATCGTGAGTTTCCTTTCTCCATCCCATCCTGAGTATGAACCAAACAATTTCATACCCCACAAATGGTGACTCCCGGAGATTCGCACTCACACAGGATGGAGGAGAAACTGATCACGCTCCCAGTCTTCAAGCAACATGGAAGACTGGCTTATCCACCCAGAAGCAGCTCTCATCGGCTCTACAGCTACTGTCTCTACACCGCAGGTTAGACACCCTAGAGCAGCTCTGCTACTCTAAGCAGACACCAGCTCCTCTTCCTGCCCTAAGCACCACGTCCTACCGACCCCAGCACACCCGTCCTGCCTCAGACGCCGACCCCGGCCCAGCAGTAACCCCTGCCGCCCTTGATGCGGCCTCTGTTCCTGAGTGCGGACACACACACCCCTCTTTTCTCCCCCAGGTACTCCCTGCTAATGTCCTGCACCCTGCTGCTGTCGTGGACCCAGCTGCTGTCACGAGCCCTCATCCGTTTCTGCTGACGCAGCCCCTGCTCCTGACCCAGGCCCCCACACCCCAGCAGGCGCATCTGACGACTCGGTACCTGCCGTGAGGGAAGCCCAAAATTCATCGCCTCCACACACCCTTATTCTCCCTCTCTACTCCCACAGATATTGTGTATCTAGACAGTTGTCCCCAGCGACCGGCTCATCCACGCCATCGCCGTTGTCTCAAATGAGGCATGCACCGCCCGTTCTGCCTCACATGTGCTATGCAACCCTGCAGACAACAAGTCTCCTACACAGCCTGGAGGGAAGGGGGAGTATTGTAGTGGAATTCTCCCCTACAAACGCTGTTTGTCGCTGCCTAGCCGACCCCACCAATTCCCCAGTGTATGCCTCGTGGTCTAGGTCAACCAGCGCCGCCATACACCACGGAGCGGGGGTCAACTGCTAAGCCACGCCTACCCCCGCTATTTAAGACCTGACCTCGTGGTGATCTGTCTCTCCTTCTACCTACACCAACCAGCCAGCAACACCTCCTCCGCCGCTGCCTGGCGGCCTTCGCTCCTCCGCCTGCCTGGCGGTACTCTCTCCCGCTGGCGAGCGGTACTCTCTCCCGCTGGCGAGCCACAAGCTGTCCTTCTCTGAGCGTCCTCACCAACCAGCTCTCTCTACATCACGCTTGTAACCATGCTGCCTTCCCAGCACCAAGCTGCATTGTACATCCAATACAACATGTATATAGAGAGCACATTGTGAGTTTCCTTTCTCCATCCCATCCTGAGTGTGAACCAAACAATCTCATACCCCACAAGTTCAAACACCCAATCTTATTTTACATAAGTTTAAACATTCAAGCTTATTTCACCTAAGTTTAGATACTAAAGCTTATTTCACCTAGTTTAAACTTAGTCTAACACCCAAATTTACTTCACAAGTTTAAACACCCAAGATTAAACTCAAGCTTATTTCACCTCAAATTATAACACGTGATAATTAACCACCCTAACACGAACCTAACCCCCAAGGTAGTGTTAAGTTGGTTAATCACTAACTGAAATAAGCTGGGGTGTATTATCTTCACATGATGCCAAAAATGGCCCATAGATAATATAAGACCGCTTACAAGGATTTCCAAAGTACTGAAAAAATCTAATAAACATTTCAAGACGGTTCAGGACCATTAAGAGTAGTGAAGTACAACATCAGCAAACAAAAAACTGTAAACACATACAAGATGATCGAGAAGTCCCTGTGCACCTCCAATAATCAATCATGTGGTTGTTCTTTGTTATAGCTACATCATTATATAAGTTGTTCTTACAATAACTATTGACAATGGCCACAAATAAATGGTATAAGTGGATACTAATGTCAATATTTACTGTAAGTAGAACAAGGTACGTATATAACAATGTTGGTTTAACAAGAACTATATTAATTATGATAAGTGCACAGGGACTTTTCGATCATGCTGTATAAACACCTCACATCAGTTGGTAATGTCTCGGCCTCAAGTGGGTACTGTACCTTGTTCATGTCCCTTTGACTGGCCAGGTAGCCAAATCTTATGGGCATTAGAAAGCAAAATGCAACATCAAGTGAACATGCAAAATTTCTAAAGCAATAAATAAACAAATATCTACTTCCTCCTGTTTTACAATACTTCTCTGTTCAAAGTAATATTACTCTATGTATTGAACTCCCAGAGCTTATCTTCCTCATCATGTCAATCTAATTTTTCTTTATCTCTTACTCTCTCTCTCCTCCAGCTGAAGTCTCCAGTAAACTCAAGATTGTACAGTGATACGGTTTGGCACTACACACACAGTTGTAGATTCACCTCCATATATTTTTCCACAAATGAGATATATGGCTGAAATTCAACCTACCTTTGCCACCAGTCTGACTTTAACACCATCTTCATATGCACACATCACCTAGCTTTACATATTTAGTGCTGAATATGGCTTTAACCCTCAAATACTTTCCACTTACACAAATCTACTGCAAAGTAAATTTCTGTTGTATAATGTATATGTATGTTTAATGTACTCAAGATCAGGATGAGACTGAGAGGACTTTTAAAGTCTTAAAGGGATTGTGGGGTTTCGAGATGTTGTCTCGCACTCAGAATGGGTAAGAGAAAGGAAACTCTCAATGCGCTCTGTACATATATTGTATTGGATGTACAATGCAGCTTGGTGCTGGGAAGTGGCAGCGTGGTTACAAGCGTAGAGTAGAGAGAGCTGGTTGGTGAGGGTGCTCAGAGGAGGTGTTGCTTCCAGCGGCTGTAGCTAGGAGAAGGAGATAGGTCACGGCCAACTGAGGTCTTATATAGCAGGGGTAGGCGTGGCTTGATAGTTGACCTCTGCTTTGTTAGGCGGCGCTGGTTCCGACCTAGACCACGAGGCACAGGCTGGGTAATTCGAAGAGGATCGGCTAGTCAGCGACAAACGGCGATTGTAGGGGAGGAATCCACTACAATACTCCCCCTTCCCTCCAGACGGTGTAGGAGACTTGTTGTCTGCAGGGTTGTATCCCACTGACAATCATGCGAGACATCACGGCGAGGGCGTGGATGAGCCGGCCGCTATGGGAGACACTTTGTCTAGATACACGAGATCTGTGGGAGAAGCAGAGGGAGAAGGGGGGTTTTGTAGGCGAGGAATGTGGTGCTTTTCTCGCAGCAGGTACACAGTCCTCAGTAGCGCCTGGTGGGGTGTGTGGGTCCGTGTCAGGAGCAGGGGCCGCATTTGGAGCAGGGGCCGCATCAGGAGCAGGGGCCACGTCAGGAAGAGGGTCCATGACAGCAGCAGAGTGCAAGACAGCAGCAGGGTCCACAACAGCAGCAGGGTGCAGGACGGGTGTGTTGGGGTCAGTAGGACGTGGTGCTTGGGGCAGGAAAGGGAGCAGCTGCCTGCTTAGAGGAGCAGAGCTGCTCTAGGATGTCTAACCTGCGGTGTAGGGGCTGTAGCTGTAGAACCGATGAGCGTTGCCTCCGTGTGGATAAGCCAGTCTTCCATGTTGTGATTGAAGACTGGGAGAGTGATCAGTTTCTCCTCCATCCTGTGTGAGTGCGATTCTCCGGGGGCACCATTTGTGGGGTTATGAGATATTGGTTCACACTCAGGACAGGTTGGAGAAAGGAAACTCACAATGTGCTCTCTGTATACATATTGTATTGGATGTACAATGCAGCTTGTGGGGTCATAGTCGCCAGCGAGAGGGGGAGCCGCCAGGCAGGAGAAGAGGTGGTGTTGCTTGCTGGTGGCTGCAGGTAGAAGAAGGAGGTGTTGCTTGCTGCGGCTGAGCTAGAAGAGAGAGATAGGTCACGGCCACGTGAGGTCTTATATAGCAGGGGTAGGCGTGGCTTGATAATTGACCTCCGCTTTGTTAGGCGGCACTGGTTACCGACCTAGACCACGAGGCGCAGGCTGGGGAATTCGAAGAGGGTCAGCTGGTCAGCGACAAACGGCGGTTGTAGGGGAGGTATCCACTACAATATCACTGCTCAAGAATCACACTAAATCCAGAAAATTTATGTCATTCTCAGTTTATTTTTCTCTATTTTTTTTTTCACAAAGAACCATGCAATAAAATCTTGTGGGAGTTCAGGCAAAAAGATAAAATATATATATATAAAAGTACTGAACAAAATTATATATAAACAAAAGCAAATGTACCTGACCTTTTGTAGCTGCTCATGTGAAAAGTTGTGAAACAATCGCGAGTACAGTCACCCAAAAAAGTCCTGTAGCGAATCATGAACCCCGAGATTCAGACTCTTGAATCCGAAGCATTTATGGACAGAATAATGTATCAAGTGTCTATCGCTTCGGGTTCACGAGTCTGAACCTCGGGGTTCGTGGTTCGCGACAGGACTTTTTTGGGGGACTGTACATACGAAGCTTTATTGTGACTAGCAAAAGCTGGTACTGTACTTGATACCCCTTCATTTCTTTTTAAGATTTGGGAGCGACATGCTTTGCTGAACCTTTTACCCTATAGGTATACTGTAATTTGTTTAACCGAATTATTTTTTTCACATATCCCAAGTATATGAGTGGGTCACATAACCCATTATGTGCTGGTAGTTGTATCCTCTTTCATGATTAAGATAAAATTCTTGTTAACCGAACAAATCTGCTTGTTACGTAAGGGCGTTCTTGACTAGGATATTTTATACGAAGGTCTTCATCAGAAAATACACGACATAGTCCAGGTAAGGACACAAGCGTGAATGTGTCCCGAGATGTACTTATTATGCCATTAAAATCTTTGCACTTCCGTTTAAATTTCATCTGTTTTCTGGCATTTTTTATTTTAGTTGCTTGCCTCCTTGCTTATCCAGAGTGTCTCATATGCTTTGGTTGCAGCCCATACAAATTTAAGAGTTCAAGACCAACCTGATAAGCTCAAAGAAACCTATTGACTGAACTTGTTTAAAACAATATAAATGTTGGTGCAATAACATAAACCAAAGAAGGAAATGAAAAGAAAAGGATTGGTGTACGTTGAATTTATTCACTGTTACTTACGTTTACAGAATAAATGTACAGAGAAGAGAAAGTTATTATTTACAAAGTGGATAGCAATAACAAACTCATACAAAGCATCTAAGCCCATGGAACATTTCCAATAAATCAAAATAAACCATTATGAATATACTACAAACCATTTTTTTTTATTCCGAGCTGCCTTGATGGTCAACGAGTTTCATTGTCATTCATAGTAACAATAAAATAAATCTTGCTGCTCATAATTATCTATACATGAGTATATCGAAGTTTCTTCCAACATCTCAAGAAAAAATACATCTGTAGGATACCACTTTCCCATGACTTTATATAATTTTGTTATTTCATAAAATTGAAGTACAGTACACATGCTCCTATTGTCACACAAAGGAGGCAAAAACATGCAAACGACACTGGGGGAAGCTACTAAGCTGGAAAAAAATAAATAAAAAAATAAATAAATATCATGCAATTACCGATTAACTTTAAAAAAAAATTTAGTGAAGGATACTGTCTATTTGAGGGCCAAGTATTCAGCACATTGAATATAATGATGCTAATGGTAATACAATTCTATTAATGATCACTCAAATGTAAATCACTACCAACCCAAACTTGGTGAATAAACAACTGTGAATATTTTTTGTATTTTTTATGTGATTAATGGTTCACTAAAAGACAAAGTCTGAACATCAATTTTAATGGATATATATATATATAAGAAAACTTAGTTCACTTCTTATACACAATGGCTAACCAAAGAAAACATAGCTTGGTGTGCTCATCAGGGTGCCTGTACATATTCAGGGTGAGACGTCTCTCTAAACTAGCAAGAGCAGAAGCCCTGAACACCTGAAAACTGAAGTGAACTTAAAATCTGTGCCTGAAATCGCTCGGAGGATTTGCTGACGAGATCCTCTTGTGTTAAAACAAGCGTTTCAGTTAGCTGAGACTAGTGAGAAATTAAGGGAAATAATGCAACATGATCTGGCATTTACAGCAACATCCAGCATACTTACCTTCACTTAGTCAACAATTCTTATAAATTACATCAATATATTACTGCTCTTCACAGATCAGGTCACCAAAGGAGAATGTTTAAAAAGTTGGCTTGTTAAGTCAATTGTCAAAGTCTACATTCCTACTTCACTAAAGAGAAACTACAGGAAGTATAGATTTAAACAGTGGAAGAGTGATAGTGGTCATCTTAAGTCTGTCAGTCGGAGAGTTTACATGCTTGTTATATGAAAAGGATTTTTGCATGTTTTTGCACTATGACTACTTCATTTTCCATTTCATGTGGTGTCAGCTCATCAGTGTACAGGATAGTACGTGACAAGATCGACGACTCTGAGACATAGAAGAATCTTTCAATAATGTTAAGTTTTCAGAATAAAATGGAAAATTAACTTTATTGGAAAACTGTCCACGAACACTATCGGCGATGTCATCACGTTCTGATTAAAAAGCAATTTATCTACTTTTTTTTCTATATTCGCACTTCAAAGTAATATGTATTACCAGCACAAATGACTATGGAAACAATAAATAAGATACATGAATTCATATATTATCATCAAAGGTATCATCATGAACATCAACATTATTAGTGTGTGTAATGTGACTATATGGTGACAAAAGTTGGGTTAGTTATTTCATACATATTAGTTGTCAGCAAACATTACCTTTCAGGAACAGACAAAAATTTTTAAGGCCAAGCAAGAATCATTTACAGTAATACTCAAGAAAAAAAAAACTTAGTGTATTCAAGTCACTTTATATCTTACTGGTAAACAGCATATGCTCACCATAAAACTATGGAATGTGAATATGACTTAATAAAGCTGTAAATTATTGTGTCAAGCAAGTCTGCTTCATGAAAGACAATGTTGCTCGACACACTGCGTAGACATGCCCGGCCCAGAGGGGTTAAGGGTGGTCGGACTAAGGGTTACCTTTCACAAACAGCCGTTTCAGCCAATGGTGTGAGGTCACACCCATCCTACAGCTTGCTGTCACTAAGTACTCAAATGTTATGAGAAAGCATCAGCTGTCCTGTGCCCCAAAACATTCTCTGGCAGCTTCTTTGCATCTTTTACCCTATTTTATTGAAGAAATATAGCAACTTTCACTGAAATTGGTGAAATAAATAACTATAATAAAATAATAATGATGATAATAAAAAAAAAACACCATCTGCACCAAAATGCACTTACAATCTATTTGGCTACGCGCTAGAGAGAGGAGCGGGAGTCAAATGACAAAGACACTCAGCAGGCAGGCATCTGATGACTAAAGCAGTACATACTTGACACTTGTCTTGGCTGCCACTTACTTATGCCACGACTTATGCCTCAGATCTAGTGTTACAAGGGTATATGTCTGTCATTAATGTATATGGTTGTATGTATAAGTATACAGGTGGGAGTTTAAATTCAAAGAACAGAATGTGTATATCATTCTTATACGTACATATATACATACTGTATATATATATATATACATACATGCATAACATACACACTCATAAATAAAGTTGTCAATATCAACCTAACAGGAGCTCCGTGAACTATATTTTAACTTATTATGCAACATACCTATGTATACTGTAAAACCTGGTGGCAGCCATTGTCAGTGGTCAAACAGAGCAGTGCCAGAGTCTGCTATCACCTGTTACTGAACTAGACTGGGATCTACCTGGTTTGCTCAACACACTGACCCCCCCTCCAGCAGTACAGGTAAAGGCATCTTCCAGGGTAGGTTTGGTCATAGTAATGTTTGCTACTGTTGGTACTATTCCATTACTGGGTTGTTGCTCCCTATGGTTACCCAATGGGCCTTCAGTTTGTATCCCATGAATCTATTTCCAGCTTCTTAATAATCAACAACAGAATTAAAATTGACAATAACTGAATGCTAGTGATTATCAGACCACACAGCATTTTTAAATATAGTACAAAAATACAAAAAATATACTAAAGCTCTGTAAATGTAGACTATATAAGGTAATCACAGCATGTTAGTAATAATAATAAAAAGGCACCCTTTGTGCCTCAGGTCAATATTTTAACTGCCAAGATCTGTCATGAAATGCAGTATGATGAAGGGAGAAGAGTGAAAAAAAAGAAGGAAAAAATGAAAGAAAGAATAAAGCGCCAACATCTCTCACCTGGGATGCGTGTTAAAGAGTGGGGCTGTAGAGGTCTAGCTGGACATAAGACACAACCAAAGTAATAGATACCAACCTGCATAACACATACCATTCAATTGTACGATGCAAGATACAATCCATTGCAACAGAAGACCAAATTAATTACAGGCCATGTGCATCCGATTGTATTTGTATCTGCAAATTCTGGTAATATTTAAACAGGTCAACACCAAGTGTAGCACCAGACCGCCTGTGTCAGCCTCTCCTGAACTCCAGGATTCAAGGTCAAGTATGTTCCTGTGCTGTGCAACAGGTTAACCACATACTGTACCATTTTAAGCATTCTGTCTTTAGTTTCTGACATTCTGACTGGGTGGGTTTATAAATCAAATTTACCTACATACATCACATTGAAGTAATTTTAATGTTTGACAGTACATCAGAAGAGTTCCTCTATATTAACAACTTTTGCTGATCAAATGCCAGGAGCCGAGCCAAGCCCAGCCTGTCCCACCCTACTGTCACACAGCACATTCACAGAGCAACACCATACTGCTGCCTATATCCTTCCTTGCCCTCCATGTTTTTCATTTCCAATACAGTATAGTTGTTGTATAATCAACTATTTGCTTCTACTATGTATATACAATTGTAAATAATTTCATGATCCTCCAAGTTTTGTTTTGAACACCTGGGAATGAATCATCACAGGTAACACCTGAAATACAAGTGAGCTTCAAGTTAAATATTCACGGGTTTTGAAGAAACACCTCTACTCTTCTTTGGCGTATAAACAATGAACGATTACCAACACATCACTAGGTTGGACGTCTCACTCCGTCCTTCAGGCCCTCTCTGCAGCTCACTGCCTCAGCTGTCACATGCGTGCATGATAATAAGAGGCAATACAAAAGCAGCTATACACAGGTGCTCTATACCCACCCTGGACACACCCTAGAGCTTCCCCATCTTCTGGCAACCACGCCCTAACTGTTGCCAAGAGGGTGGTGCTCACATTATTACATTCGTGGTATTAATAATAAATTAAAATAATAAATTACTGGGGGTCTCTCCTCCCACACACATTGTGTCACTTGCCTCTTACTGCACACTGGTTACCTTTAAGATAGCCTGTTACGGTGAGGGAACATGCCATCAGCCACACGAGAAACCTAGGAATAGACGAGAGTGGCAGAGCCGCAGGAGAGTAGATCACAGGCAGTAGCTTGGGTGTAGGTAGAGTGGGAGTTGCAGCAACCTGGTGAGGAGCGGCATCGATATCTGTAGCAGCGATGGCAGCATGCAGTAGGGGGGAAGGGGTGACCAACAGGTTGATGGGAGGGATGGGCGAGGCTTGCTCACACACCCTCACATTAGCGGCACTCCCACACCTTCATGGTTTGATCCACACTTCCGGTGATAACGTATGGTGCACTCCGATGCATATCTGAAGAATTGAAAAGATTATTTCTTTAATAGAATTAACAAAACTACAGTGTCTCAGTCTCCAATTACTATATTTACAGAGCAACACTAAAAATACTTGTAATTTTTGTCCTTTCCTGTTTACTGCCTTATACTTCAACTTGCCAAGGCAGGCTACTTCTTCCCACATATTCTCATATTTCTGTATGAGCTAATAGCAACTATTTCTAGTTAATAACAATAACATCACCTAAGATTCCTTTACAATGCTTCAAGGCCAGTTATTCTTTAACATCTGAAGACCACAACATTTAAATACATCAATGACACTTACCTAATGATGTACAGAAATGAGAGTGAGCATCAAGAGTCTTTTGGCATCGCTTATTCTTAATATCCCACACACGAACTGTTTTGTCATCTGAGGCAGAGAGGATGTATTTGCCACCAGGGTGTACCAGGAGGCCTCGCACCCAATTGTCGTGTCCTACAAGTGTGAAGAGGCATAGGCCAACACCTACATCCCATACCTGATAAATAAGGAAGCAAGGAAACAATCAAGCGGGCTTTCAACTTATAAAAAAAAAAAAAAAAATTATATATATATATATATATATATATATATATATATATATATATATATATATATATATATATATATATATATATATATATATATATATATATATATATATATATATATATATATATATATAATATATACTGTATACACACACACACACACACACACAGTGGTCCCTCGGTTAACGAGCACAATCCGTTCTAGAAATTTGCTCGTTAACCGAAACCATTGCTTCTATGGGTTTTTGGGTAATTATTATTTTTTCTTTACATTGACAAGCCTTTCTTTTTCACTATATGTGCACTGCAATATTATAACTACAAATTCACAGATATTAATACTACATGTACACCATGTCATGAGTATCAAGTTCACTACAATGAAAGTTAAACATTGATGGATTATAAGAAAGTAATGCTTACCTTGATAGTCTTGTCTCTTGACCCAGATATCAGGAAGGGGCCCTGGTAGTTGGGTTTACGGTTATCTGTCGCAACCGCATCGTTCACAGCCGTGCATGCATTGCCTTCGCACCACGCAATGCACTCTACTACATGGTCGTGTTCCCGCAGTTCAGCCTGTAAGGATGGTTAAAGTCATATCTTCATGAAAACATCATTAATTTTGTTCTGGAATGTTTAACTATAAATCAACATCTATTTTATCATGTTGGGTAATGAGACCAAAGGTGGCTGGAAAGCTACGATAGTGATCATATAATATTTAATCTGATTTTCAGAGATGTGAAACAAGCCAAACTTACCCCAAAAGTGATATCTAAGGTAGTTGTCAATTGGTCGACTGGTAAAGTATAAAGGTACTGCATCATACACTTGGTTGTAAAGTACCTAGATAATGCCAGTGTGTTTAAACCATTTTTGACAATTTTACCACTTCCATTGAAAATAAATTAAGTCGTATAAATCTTATATCTGAATCATGCCAAAGTAAGCATCAAACCTTTGTAACAAATGTGTTTTATTAAACAGCTGTTTATTTTATCGTTGTAATACCTAATACAGTAATTCTGCCTTTCTAGTTAGTCTCTCAACATTCCTACATGTTGTGCTGGTGAAGTTTTCTCCTTTTAAAAAGAAGCAGAATTTTTGACAAAACAAAATGCCTATCATTATTATTTCTATGGTTTTTGCACCCTCTTTCACCACCTTCAGGTGCTATTAATTAGTGAAAACTGGATACAGGTGGCAAAACCCCCCAAAATAATATACTGATCAGGAAATATCACATGAAGTAATCTAAATTAAGTTAGTTTCCAAGGAGGAACTTCAAATTTATAAGTAAACAGGAATTTATACTCAAGACTTTCATGAAGTGTTGGGAGTAAGCTTTCAAAAGGACTCCTATTGTGTATGAGTAACTTGATGTAATCACTGCTACTACTACTGTACATGCTCACCACAAAATCATTGTCATATTCTTATATATAAATTACACAGTTAACATTACTCAGAGATTTCAAGAACTTTCTTCAGTATGTAGGGATGCATAATACATTCATTACATATTTACAGGTGACCCTTTCCAAGGAGAAGTCACAGGAGGAGGCAGATCAAAGGACTGTCCAGCAGGGACAGCCCACAGGCATTCTTGGATTTCTAAAATTCTTTTAGGAATTTTTTCCCTAAATTGCATGTTACATAAAATTTATGTTAAAGACAAAGATTGGAAACCACTTCTACCAAGATTCCCATAAAATGTGTCCCAAGATAGTAATACTGTATACAACATAACTTTCTATTCTTTTACTTTGTGAAATAATGTCTATAGAAACTTTCTGTAAAGTAAGTCAGAGAATACCACATATTCATGGCAACAACTCATCCCTCTTATCAAGAATTATGGGAAAGATGTGTCATCAGATTACAATGATACACCTCAACCACACAAAAAAAAAAAAAAAAGTAAAAGTACTGCACACAGTCTGAAGCTGATTCAAATGGATTCTTAAATAATGTAGTTATTTCTGATGGTACAGTACTTACCTTACATTCCTTGGAAGCGGTGAGCCAGACACGCACCGTCTGGTCATTAGAGCACGAGGCAATGAGAGAACCGTCGCTGCACACTCGTACCATCCTCACCCATTCTCGGTGTCCCGTAAACGTCTTTACACAGTATCTACCATGAGGATGGAAAGACCATAGTAAAAATTGCTGCCTAATACAAGGAACAACTATCATAGCCTACAACACATCATTAAAAAATTATCATAATGATTTAATCTCACACACTCAACACGTTGGACATTATTATCAACCCTAAACTCATTACCCAAATGGGATCCCAAGCAAAGGCAGCTAAGAACAGTGTTGTTCAGAATACAGTATGCCTCCCAAGTTTGTACCCAAAAATGTCTGTGCATAGTTTTAAAGTTGCCGGCATTTTCGCGACTGGGACAGGGAGCCATTCATTCTTAGAGAGAGTAATTTCCTTTACCTGTATTGTAAATATGAGTGTGTGTGTGTGTAAACACACACAAAACACACAAAACTAAATAATTGGAAAATCCTCACAAATAATGAGGAAAAAATTTATTAAAAATGTAACAGTCTACTCTCAAGTTCGTGCTCTATTACTTTATTAAGAGAGCACGGACTTGAGGGTAGACTCACATTTTTTATAAATTTGTTTCTGATTATTTGTGAGAAGATTTTCCAATTATAATTTAATAGTACAGTACAGTAAGTTCTGCTATAACGCGATGTTTTGATAACGCGAATTTGCTCTAACGCGATTTATGAATTCGGAACAATATTTGTATAACGCGATCGCTTGTTTGCTATAACGCGATTTTTGCTTACTATTTCTCCAATTTTGTGGTATTAACTGTGAATATGGTAAAGAAGAATATCTCCAAAAAGCATTCTGATGATAGAATTCCCGGTGATTATCGTAAAAGAAAGGATATAACACTTGAAGAGAAGCTTGATGTTATCAACCTCAAAATCACCCTTCTCCCCCATCAAGTTACATTCATATTTTTTCAAGGTAAAGTGTTAAATTTACTGTATGATTTCATTATTAGATATGAATGTAACATTTATTTAGACTGTGCTATCCTTTGTGTTAGGCTAACTACTAAATTTTTTCGATTTCGAGTAATCTGCACCTAACCCTATTTTCTCCATAAGCCCTGTTATTTCTATTCGCGATTTTCTATAACCGATATTTTACAAGAACACAATTATCGTTATGCAGAACTACCTGTATGTGTTTTGTGTGTGTATGTGTGTCACATGACCAATACTACAGGTAAAAGAAATAATTGTCCCAAGGGTAAACACAAAGGGAATATACATTTCTTTGTACACAAAAAAATACCCCCCCCCCTCCCCAGTCCGCAAATGTTATTCATGGATTTGGCAATTCGCGGCCATTTTGAGAACCTAACCTCCTCAAATTTGGGGGCCCCTGTATACATGTCCATAATTTATTTTTTATTCTTAACCCTCTCAGCCTCCACGACGACATTGTGGCGTCGAACATAAAAGGCGAAAAAACTTACGTTCAGCCTCGCAATGCCAACGTGGCGTCCAATGGGCTATATTTTCAAATAACTCAAAAACTATTCAGCGAAACTGACTGAACTTTGGAGGCCATTTGACAGATGTCGTTTTCTTTGTGTGGGCCTCATCACTTACCCCGAGACGGTCTTGGTCATCGTGTGCATGACAGCGCAGCATGAAGCCAGTGTCGCTCTGGCCATTAGAGCGAGAGGAGGGTGTGCCGCTCGGCCTTTTAATTATTTCATGAGTTTTTGTTATATTATTTTTCCTTATACCACAATATTCTACATGCTTTGTTCTTATTTTGGTATATAGTACATATCAATGAACACCATAATACAGTACAAGGATATGTGAATGGAAATCGAGATGTTACTAAACATTTTCCTACTTTTCAACTTATACTCGAAAGAAGTGGCTTAAATTTCAAGAATCTTTTTTTATGGTTTCATAAAAATTTTCATACAATTTTACACTAGAAGAGACCCCATTGCAATTAATACAAAATTCTATGGCAGTGAAATGAGCCCTAAAAAAAAAAAAAAAAAAAAAAGTCAGCAAAAACCTGAGGCTGAGCGTACATTTTCATGCATGCATGTGTCTCAGGCTCCAAGACTGAGAGTAATAATGAAATGAGTCTGTTAATAGAGATATGACACCTAAAGTGGCTCATATTAGAGAAGGTTCAGTCTACAACCATAAATCTACATAAATACAATCCAACTCTTAAAACATACTACAGTTTACCAGTATTTTTTGCTTCATTAAGAAAATTAGTACTAAAATGTTCTGTCAAAGCCAACTAAATTTACCAGAAGAAAAACCCAAGACAAGGAAGGATGCATACATGTGGACATGTGTCAGTTATACAGTCACTCCTCGACTTACGACCACCCGGACATACAACCACCCCAGTCATACCAATTTTTTTTCAAATTACGTATTTTCAAGTTCCGATGTTAGTGATTGTGCTGTGTACTGACAAAATTTTCGTTTGTAATTCCTTTTAAAGTGGCTGGCAAGCTTAAAAGTGAGAGTTTTGTGGTCCTGAGAAGAAAGAGACCCATTTTAGATTTTATATGTATTATTTTCGCATTTTCGACTTACGACCTGGATATGGGTCCCTAACCCCGTCGTAAGTCGGGGACTGCCTGTATTGTAATGTCTATATCAATTTTACAACATCAATGGTGTTATGAAAATCCATTTGTTTTAACAAGCGTCAGCACACTTCTAAGACTTCTAAAAGCTTCAAGGTTATAGCAACTACAGTGCTAGCACCTTTTAATTTTTCTCCAGGATCAATCATAAAAATGGAACAACTAACTCACAAAAAGCATGATATGTATTAAGTACCACTAATAAAACATAGTTTGTTTTTATAATAATGACATCAGTTATCTTGTTAATTTCCAACCAATGCAATATAAAAATACTGAAAACTAAACATGCTCACTTGCTGTATTCCTTACTCACCCTGTGGCCACCTCCCACATTTTAATGGTCTTGTCTCTGGATGAACTAAGGAGGTAATCTCCAGAGGGCATGAAGGTGACTGAGGACACATTGTGGTCGTGGCCGTGCATCGTCTTGACACATTCGTATGATGAGAAGTCCCACAGCTTGATTGACATATCAGCACTACATGAGACTAAGAGAAAATAAACAGTACATAAGTAACATACAAGTACAATGAAAGGCTACATTGCATATAACAATATTTTTCATCACAGCGCTACATCCACCTTTTGATTCCCTTAAACCTCACATCATTCTGGCATCCACACATTTTAGACATTATTTTACTCCCTTAATTTCTTACCATGCAGTGCAGCATAAAACTCCTTAATACAGTACTAATCTCCATAAAAAATATTATCCACAATCTTTTGGGGGAAAATCCCCACTGCATTCAATATAGCACATATACATTGTGTCACATCTGTACACTGTAATAAGAAATTGAATCCATGAAATAACCACTTTCCATTCACTCCATACTTAAGTCACAGCAATGAAAAAAAAAATTACATACATACCCTGTACTTAAAATTCTAAACTTACCTAGGAACTTGCCACTATGGTCAAATGCTATGTCCTGAATGCTGTCAGTGTGACCTTTTAATGTCTTTTCATAATCTCCAGTTTCATAATCCCACAATTTGATAGTGCCATCTTCACTTGCAGACACCATCAATGAATACATTGGGTGGAAAATTACCTGAAACACAAAAAAAATAGATATTAGTGCCAAAAATTAATCTGCTATTCAATTCTTCCTTTCAAAAGTAGAATCTTTTCCAGGGACACTGCAAGCTGGCCAGAATCACAACAAAAACACTCCTCTTAACTTCAGTCACATCCCCCATAACTCATCAGACACCATCTCTCCAACCAATCACACACTCTGCTGCTTCCTGAATCCCCATTCCCCCACTGCTAATATGGTAAAACGGGTAAACCCTCAATAATCAAGATTAATGGATGGAAGGTTAGCCCGGAAGATCCAAATTTCTATTAGATCTCAAGAGCTGTTTTTGGGCACAAAATAAAACCATATACAATAGAGTACAACTATCTTGAATACATTCATGGACATTCTACATATATGGCATTGCAAAAATTGTGACCAAGTCCCAGGTTGCTGATCTGACTTTCTGCCTCATTTACACACAATTGCAGGGTCTCAATTGTTTCTCTTGCTATTGACAACACAACATACATACTGTATATCGTTTCTCACTTATGATCTTTTTTTTTAATTTCTTTATGGTTCCTTATTATTATTATTATTATTATTGCAGTGTTTTCAGTATTATTATTGTTATCATTATTATTTTATTTTTATTTTTTCTATTATAAATTTTACTTATCTGAATTATTATTATTATTACGTTTTCGCCCCCCGGGCGCTGATGTGGGTCGGTGACCTGTGTCCGGGTGGGGTAATACCCGTATAAAAAAAAAAAAAAAAAAAAAAAAGCCAATATTTGTTACATGTCAAAGGAGTAAGGCTCGTAACAAACAAAAAGTGAACGTATTCAAAGAAAATTACAATATATGGTTCTTAAATTTGTAGTGACAAGAACTCCAACTATGGTGTAATGTATGGATTGAATGCAGCCCCTTTTAATAACTGAATACTTGATGATTGGAGTAAAGAAACCTAAATAAAATGTATAACTATATTTACAAATGTTTACCACTAATAACAATGAAATAAAGCTAATCACATGAACATACTAGGTTACTTTAAGGTTGCCAATATCACTGACAACCAAATCAATACACGATTCTAGAACATAAATACATAAAACACCAAAACAGCCAGCCACAACAATGAATACCATGAGTACATCACCCAATCGAAGACAGAAGTGAACTGACAATGCAGGCCAGTGGTGAAGGTCTGATGACTACCCAAGCTTGTGAGCTACTGACCCGGCTCCGAAGCCGTCAGCTTCTATGGGTTGCTTTGAGCAGACTGACCCAGACATCGTACTTAACATGTCATTGTATATCTTTTTATTCTCCCACCAAACCTTTTCTCATTATGCTGTAAGTTGGCCAAGATTCAGGAGCTAAAACACACACTCCCTTCACTGGTCTCCTTCTAGCCATTCTTATCTGTTAACACATCCCCATTAACCACCTAACACCACCACCATGCACTCCTGTCATTCACAAGGCCTGTCATTTAATCCCATCCTTCCATATCTTTTATCTTCCTCTCCTCCCTTGGTCCCACCTTCACAAGAAGGAAGAAAGATAAATGGCAGAACAAAAATGAATTAAACAACAAATCTCACCCTGGTAACTGGTGCCCTGTGTCCTGTAAGATTGTACTTCTCTGGGGGTCGTGGAATCCATTCTGTTGGCGATCGTTTGTCTCGAGTAGGAGCACCAGCAATGTATTCCCTTTCAGCTTCATTCAGCTTTACTTCCAATTCCATTACCTAAGACACAAGTGATGAAGGTTATCACCAACTGTCAAGCCACAAAGCTTTGTATTACTGTCTAAAATTAACTTAAAGGGAAAATTAAAAAGGGAAGCTATTTTTTAAGCAATACCCAACAATTTCAAGCCTGATAATAATGATGTAATTCCCTGGATAAAAAGCATCCACTTTTCCCAAGACTGCTCCAGCCATTTGGTTGAGGAAATTTTGATGCCAACAGAGAATATAACACTACCACTACAAGCCAACACTCATCATAAAAATTATTTATCATTGATGATTTCAAACTCCATAATGAAATAATGATAATGTAGTTTAGCTAATACCAGTTTGAGAGTGAACAGTTGTAATGTTACTGCTCAGCTTTCATCAGTTACAAGCAAGTAATATTATATACACGTTAATTCATATACCTGTATAGATTTACAATACAATATACCCAAGTATGAAGTTTTAAAAAAAATTTCTTGACTATACTGAAACACCTTAACCTGTGTTGTTCATAACTAACTACTTCAATATAAATAGTGACAGCCTTCCTCTACTGTCATCACGGTGAACTCCAGTGGGGCTTTAAAGTGTTGCTCAATGATTAATTTTAGAATAATTTATACCAAAATATTACCATAAAACAAAATTAAGCTATTAGCCATTTTACACAAAGTACTGTACCAATAAACACAATGCAAAGAGAGTAAGATTGGAGCTGACTTTTTAACCACATTTACTGTAGTACTGTATATGCAAAAATCTGATGTTATAACTCATGAAAAAGATATGAAGACCCTTAGCCTATTCATGTTACTTTTGAAAATCACTTGACTACAAAACCTTACAGGCAAGGGAGACTGAACTCTAAGGTCTTCACTTATCTTAGGTAAAACAAAGGTAGAACAGCTTACCTTTTTCTGGAGTCTGATAACCGAGCACCATTTCTTTTCGAGGAGCCCTGAATATTTTCTTTCAATCTCTCCTGGCATATCTGCCTCTGCCTTGAAGGCTTCCAGTGCATCCATATAGCCATTGCTGCATAGATAGTCAGCTATGGCTTTATTCCTAAATAAGAGAGATGGAAAAAATATTAGTTCATGAGTACAGTACCATCTTACCTTGTGCACGGTACAAGACAAATTCTGTTTGGATATACAATACCACTATGTGTCCAGGAGATTCAATTTGGGCCAGTATCCAATAATATTCTCCTACATCAGCATCTCCCTCACCAGATAGAATTTCATCAGCTATCTTTCTATGACACTGAAACCGGCTGAAATGTGATCAAACCATGAAAGATTCAACATGATTGAATTTAACTTGCCCAGCACAAGTCCTATGAGGCTCAAGCCTTCTAGGCAAGGCCTTCATCCCAAATGCCCATGAGCTATCCCCTTCAACCCACCATGAAAAATTAACATCCTGGTTTCACTGTTATCAAGTACAGGTACAACTTTCCTACAAACAACCCTTCAGCCAGCCAAAGATTAATGACCAGCTTTTACTACAATAACCCCAAAATCCAGAGGGAGCTGCCTCTCCCTTGGGGCGAGGAACTTATCCATTAGTATCTTATTCACCGCTGCATCATAACTCATGGTAAAGCATAGAAAAGAATCTTACATCAACAATGACCTCTGCCCAAACCCACAAATCAAAATGGAACTTTCTCTCCCAATTGGAAATATACACAAGCAATATTAAGTTCACTGATGCAAGCTCAAAATTACTGTTCAGAAACCTAAAAAGTTAAGACAGATAGACAATACTGTACCAGTACATTCTACACTTTATGGATATAACTTACAAAAAAGGGTCCAGTAAGCATGACTCCCCACCACACAACTTAAAAAACTTGACAGCAAAAAAAATATTTAATAAAAATAATAAAACACAAGCCACCCTGATTACTATTAGTCACTAGGAAGAATAGAAGAAGCAACTGAAAGTTTAATTTGAACATGATATTTATGAGAGTTTGTTGAATGTCAAAGATCCAAGTCAGGTGGATAAAAAACACCTATCCTGTGTACAATAACCTTAACACACCAGTTAACAATATGACTTGGAAGAGGGTGTGCGTGTGATCAACCCCTTGGGAGCTTGAAGGAATCATAATCCAATTAGATGTTCTACATGTCCATCCATATTCATTAAACACATTCCATCCCCCAAAACTAAATGGAATGAAACAAGTGTTGGGATAATCAAAATAAGTGTACACACAATATAATTAGTGTCTTAGCACTTACGGGTCATAAAATATGACAATGGACGATATATTCTCAACAAAGGTCTTTGATCGTGTGTCATATTGGTAGCCCTAATCACCCCTTATATGGGAAACTGTGGATATGCCAGTGACCCACATTTCCCTGTATGCCTAGTTATTTATAAGTATTGTACTGTACAGCACTGTATAATTATTATAATCTCATTTTTACTGACACTTACTGGTATGTTATAAAATAACATTGTTATTATAGTGATAAATTATGGAACAAATTGGCAGATGTGTTTCACGGTGGCTATAGTGGTGTGAAAGGAATCGTAAATACAGTACTGCATATGATATTATTACTAAAATAAGCTGAACATATACAGTAAATCCTTAATAACTTGCTTCTTGGATACACAGGAATTTATTTCATGAAAAGAAGAGAATATTCAGAGATTTTATTTAACTAGCATTTTATGTCGGAAACCCCTGTATCAATTACACAATTGAACAAGTGAAGCATGGGGGCCACCAGCTCAGCTGTCATGTCTTCTTCGGCCAGCCCTCCGAATGTTCCTGGTGACACCAATATCTTGATAACACCTGCCTAACCCATAAGGATAAGGTGGGTATTGACATGCCAGTCCGCCATGTAATTTCCTGAAAGTTAAGGCCCTCGCTGTGAAGTGATAAGAGTTGTGCACAATACTTAGGAACTCTCCACAGTGAATACCAAGATCATGACAGGAATTTACAATATCAACCCTGTTGGTGTTCCATATGTGGCAATAATTTTTAAACAAAAAGAAACAACTCTGTAATTGGCAAAAGTTGACCTTTTAGACCGATGAACATGGGTGAGGTTTCCCAATTCTTAAAAGTGAAGCTGGCACGATTTGAAGTTGAGCTCATCATATGTGTCAAAACGTGATTTGTAACTGGATTACAGTTAAAGAAAAACAAATGTAACATGTTAAGTATTTTGTTGTAGCCACACTTCCTTTTATATGTTATATTCCTATATGGCAATGTAACCCCTGAGTTGCATGTTTTTAAAATAAAGCAAATTGTGGCATCTTGGTGCAAGAGGTTTTAATAATTCCAAAGGTAACAAAAAGAGGAGCTACAAATATTTTTACAACATTAAAAAGAAATGCACTTCACATTCAGGCATACCAACCCTTCTGATACGACAGGAGTGATATTGCTCATTTTGAAATCCACTGTAAAGATACTTTTTGTGCTGTGTGTATAATATAGCTACTAAATAAAAGCTAAGATAAATCTATTCAATTTCAAACCATATTAAGACAACATACATTACAATAGCCTCTTTGCTTGGACATTTTAACATCTAATTCTCACTGCTCAATAAGCCAGTATTATGGCAACATTCACCCACTTTTCTCAACACGAACAACCTCTTGATACCGATGTTACATGTGCTAATTAATTTCCTAATATAAATAATACACCGACAGAATTAATGTACCTGTATTTTTCTTTATATTTAACTGCTACATCATTCAGTCTACCTATACTCAAAATAATTATTTTATTTCTTCAAATCCAATCTTCGCTTTATTAGAAATGATAAGAGGTTATGGTATTACAGGTTAAGTTCACGTTGTGAACAATTAAAATGTTCCCTCAAAATCCTGGGAAAACCTGAGATGATGATTTATAGTTGTACTTGCCTCCTTCCTTTTAGCCTAATAAAGTTAAATGGCAAACATTTCCTCACTTTTTCAGCTCACTTCCTTCACTACTGCAGGGTGACAAGAATTACGAACAAATGCAAATTCCCTTCGTTCACTTCTGTTCACTTACCTTCACCTCTATTTCTAACTTAGCCAGACAAATTATAATGAACAACAGTGGTGGCACTGCACGTCCAACCTTCAAGGGAGCCCGTGTCCCTCACCTCTACACATTCTTTGCCCCCCTATAAATATTTTTGGATGATACTCAACAGTTCCCAGTCAACCCATATAATTTCAGTTCTTCCCACATTGCCTTTCTATATACAGGTACTGTACTCTTATTGTGAGGTTCTCCAGATCTATAACCAAAACAAAACAATTCTCTTGAGAATTTATTCTCAAAGTACAGTAAATTAGTTGGGTAAACGTGGCAGATACTGTACTGAGGATGGCTACTCAGATGACCAACCAAAAACAAATTCTATACAAATTTTACTGACATTTGTGGATAAATATTAAACTAATTATAACCCATATAAGACCAGACCTACTTATCAGTTAAGAAGCAAAGCAATGACTGGACAACCTTTTATTATTTCCTGTTTCTGACTTCCTATGCTGATTTCTTTCAAACACAAGCTACGGAGGCATATAGCTGCTACAATCAATGAGTTATCTACATGAGCCACAACACACTCAATGACTTCTTGCTATAAACCTTATCGACTGTTCCCAGCTTTGACCTAAACCAAGGTGCCCTAAAAATTAATAGATTACAACACTGTATACCTGTTTCTGCACTGGTCCCATCTGCCTATTACTGTACTGCTATTACAGTAACCTCTCTCTAACACAATTAGTTTCATATTGTATGAAGACTTCATTCTAACCACGTAATTTTAAGTTTCATCAAATACTATAATTAATGACTAAATCTGGTATCAACTGGAAACTAGTACAGTGGGGTATGCTATAACGAACGGATCCTACTACGAATATTCCTATAACGAACGGTTTTACCTATAAAATTGAGAATGCTATAACGAACGAAACTCCTACAACGAACATTATTTAATTTTTTTTTTTTTCTAATTTATTGTTTTTTATTACAAATATTAATGATATTCTTTATTTCAGGGGTTTAGATGCATATTTATGCACTTTCTTACAATTTTTACAATTTTATATTATATTTTTCAGTGCCAAGTGGTTGTATTTGGGGGCCTGGAACGGATTAATCCTATAACGAACTAATGCTATAACGAACAAGGTTCTAGAACCAATTAGATTCGTTATAGCATACCCCACTGTACATGAAGGTGGTTTTATGAAATTTGAGAATTAACATTAGGAGTCTACAGAATAACTTAAGGGAATTTTTGTAGGCATATTGCTATTCTTGGTAAAATCATATACAAAACACTGCTGTTCCATCTGGTGGAGACTTATTCCAAGGTAATCTTATGGAAAGGAAAAAGTAATCCCTCTTAGACGGTGAGAATGATAAACATGACTGAAGTATAAACTCCCATGTCACGGCTCGGGGAGGAGATGAGTGACTCGTGAGATTACCCAACCAGAACATCACCCAGCAGAGGCAGTCTTGTATAGGGTACTGTTTACACCCTGAGACTGCAACACCGCCTCATCAGAACAAGGAAAATTGCTGCATAAACAACTACTCGCTCAGGTGAATTGTGATTTCCTACTTCTCAACATACTGTTGAAGAAAATTATTACTTGTAAGAGCAGACTGCTTGAATTACTGAAGCCTATAGCAGGGCAGAAAGCCCAAGGCAGCCTTCCAGGTCCACACTCTCCCCTTGCATTGCCCACTCCCATGCTATTAATAAAAGTGAACCCATCTGTGCCAAGACCATTCAAGGGTTATCTACAATAGACTTGGTGCTGATAAGAGTGGAGTAAAAACTTTCAATACACAGTAATACTAAAACACTTCAACTATTATCAAGACAGAAAATATAATCTTTACAATGTTAGCAACATAAATAAATGACCTCTGGCAACATAAGGCCTTGTGAATAAACATTTACACAGCATTATACAGTTTAAAATCACACCACTGAACACATACAGTTCCCTGGAAAAGACAAGCTCTGGTAGGGGGTACTCTTGCAGTGTATTCTTGCAAGTCATATGCTGAATGACTCATAAGCCTCAAGATCTCTGCCTCTGAGTTAGTTTTACCTATAAGAAATTTCAATATTCACACCGACTCTCACCGATACTGAACCAAAAGATGATACTGTATTACGCTCACTTCCTATCATTTACGAGACAAGTAGTTATTTTAAAGAATATCTGATATACTCACAGTTCCTCTCTTTGACGCTGTGACAAAACCATTTTCATGATCGTAGGTTTTTACTGTGGGGCCAAACAACACGTGGGTAACACTTCTTATATGTCCATACCTGAAAAGCAGTACATGAATAAGTCAATCTTACACTTATACAATTCATTTCACAGTAATAAATAAATGACCTTAAAATACAAGACGCATACAACATGTATAATCAACTCCCCAGGGCAGAAAACTTTATCCGTCTACCCAAGTCGCATAATTTCTGGTGTACATTAACAGTGCCTAAGACAACCTCCTTTACACATTAAGTATAACTGCAAATATTTCCTCCTTTTCTCTTTTACACAATAGATACATTCCCTCAGTCTGTTCTTCCTCAACATTTTCCCATGCATTTTCACCAATCATTTCACTCATGTTCACTTTGTCATGTAAAAAAATTTATAATGAAGGTATTAAACAAACAGTTTCACAAATCCCTTTACATCCTCCCTTTGGTATTTAAACAAACCTTAAGCAGAAATTTATCCAAAGTTACTTGTCAATTTTTTACCTCTCCTGTATTTTGACTTTGACACACACACACACACACACACACACACACACACACACACACACACACACACACACACACACACACACACACACACACACAATCCTTATCAAGTATACTGTAATAATACATCCTCTCCATAATCATTGCCATCCTGTTATTTTTCATTTTTTTCTCCTCTTTGAATATGCTCTTTCGTATGTCTAATTCAATATAAAATTTTCTAGGGAAATATCCACATAATTTCTCCACCGGGATACAGTTTTTTTGAGGACTTAAGCACCATTTAAAATTTTACACTCAGTTAAAACAACACACAAGACATATTCAGTACTGAACAAGCTCTGAGCATTCATGTTAGGTCTCTGAAACAACAACCACCTAAGCAAGGTCTATGGAGAATGTTTCATACAGTATACAGTAATTCTTCTGTAAGCAAGAATATTTTAAAGGTCAACTGAATATCACATTAAATCTTAAAAACATACAAGAAACTTTACTGATCTTAAAATGTGAAATATATGACTTCAGAATGTTTACCTCAAACAAACAACATAATAGTTTATCCCATATTCATCATGGAAGCTGCTACCACACTACCAACACACCAGGTTGCATGCAGGAGAGCTATTACCAGCAGACACACCCACTGCCCGTGTTTGGTATGTAAGGTTTACCATGGAAGTGATGTCATCTCATTTGCATAAGAACGCTTACAAAAGTGACTTGCCAAAAATCTCCAATACTGAATCTAACTCTGACAAGTAGATTTAACCTTGCATAGGTACAGTACACCTCAAATTCAAATTCCTTTTTGGCATTTGCCATTATTCAAATTAATTAATTTGGGGGGCATTATCATGAACACTAAACAGTATTTATATACTTTAATGTAAACCTGTACTGACATTGAATGGGTATACAGTAAGTACAAAACATTTTTTTTTAATTAGTACTGCATCTTATGAAAGGTATAAATGCATTAAAATGTTTAAGGTAAGATCAAATAATATTAATTTCCTTTATAACCAAATTCTAGAAGGATTTGTTCTGAACAGGTTTCATGCAAAACAAACTCAGCAGCTACACCAATTTAAAGTATGTGTAATTAGTAGCCAGTCTTACTCTCTTGTACTGAGGCAAATGAAGCAATGGATGAGCTTAAATACTAAAAAAAAAAAAAAAAAATCACTCTTCTACCTTATACACAACACCTGTATACTGTGAAGGCCTCTACAGTATACAACATCCCATCTGTCAACACAAAACATTAACCAACAATAAAGCTAATCTCCGACACAGTTCCAAGTTAACCAGGTCTTTAGCCGAGTTGAGAAGTATATATGAAAAGTTTTGGGAAAAATCAAACAAATTAAAAAAACAGCTAAATATCATCTCTACATTGTTAAATAGCAACTCGAGACTTTTCCTAGTTTTCAATGATACCATTTCTCCAAGACACTGTAATCCTATGTTATCGGTGCAAGGGTAGCTACAGTATTTTACACCAAATACTAATGATATAGTCTTTATGGTATCCAACACTCTTAACTTGAAACTTGTGTTCTCACGAGGAAAGTATTTAAAAAAGGTTGATCAAAATATCATAAACAATGAGGTGAAAACACAAATTGGTTATATTAGTCACTACACCTTGTAACTTTTATTCAGTAATCAAACAGGCTTATAAACTCATTGCCAAATACTATTATTTCTAGAGGGAGACCACTATAATAATATGTATGGTGGTACTGTAATATCAAAGGCCCTAATAAATATATCACTTACCATAAAAATAAAAAGCTTAACTAGAGAACTATTTAGCAATAAATTATATTTAAGGCTCTCGTTTTAAACTACTAATGGCTACCTCTTATAGTACGATGATAAAAAAAAAATCAAAGTAGCTGAAATCAAAACTCAATACTGTAACTAAGGACAGTACTGTATTGTATTATAATACAAACTTATGTAACACACTTTTGTTGACAGATACAGTACTACTGGTATATTGTTTACTCTAAACTAGTCTGAATTCATTATACATCATAAATTAAAAATGAGAAAACGTGACAAGGAATGTGTATTATACATTATGACAAGAGAAGCATTCTTAGCAATAACAAGCATGCTAAAACAGATCAAATTATATTAAGAGAAATAAGAAACTGCCAATGGTAAAAGTAACTCTTCCTAAACTCAAGACTCCTGAACAATAAAAAATATAATATCACATGAAGTACAGTACATTATATACTAATCACAACACATATACATTACAAAACACTTACACCGGTGATCTCTCCTCACTGGTTTAGGCTGCCTTGCAAAGGAAAAAAGAAAATTTATCTTCATTATCTTAATTGCTCAATAATACACTCACCAGATCACCTGTGTAATAACTACCACAAACTCCCACCATAATAGAGTATACACCACAATGTGATGGATCACCTGAAGATTAGCCCCCAGCTTATATCACCTGATGATTAAATACCCTAACATTATCTAGGGGTAAGGTTAAGTTGGATTAGAGTTAAGGTGGTTAATTTTAAGGTGAAATAACAGGAGGAGGGGGGGGGCTTATCTTCTGGTGATCCAATGTGCAGTAATAATTCAAACCAGTAACCATCATCACACCAAATCCAGTAACTTCTGTAACAGGCAACAACACCGAACAAGAGTACCACAAACAGCACATGATATGCCAGCAGACACTTGGCCTCTCTCCACGAGACACCAAAATCAATATGCTTCTGTGTTTCCCTGAAGACAATTCCCTAGTGGAGTGGTGAAGCAGAATGTGTTCAGCAAAAGTTAGGGATCACCTGAATGCTAACCTAACCACCCCAGGTACTGTCAGGGTGGTTAATCTTCAAGTGAAATAAGCTGGTGTCCAATCTTCAGGAAATGTTAAGTTAGGGTAGCAACAGAAGTTAAAGACAGACAAGTATCCCACATTAAAAAAGATTTCTTTGCAACTGAGCCATCAGCTAATTTGACTTATTCAGCCATTTCAGCAATAAGCACACAATGCATTATTATGTAAGCTGCAGCATGTACAGTACAGCATGCCCTTCAAATTGGGTGTGTGTGTGTGTGTGTGTGTGTGTGTGTTAAGGTTCTCAAAATGGCCGCTAATCGCCAAATCCGCGAATAACATTTACTTGTGCACAAAGAAATGTGTATAGGGTACACTATTCCCTTTATGTCTTTGCACTTGACAATTATTTTTTCTTTTACCTGTACTGTATTGTATATACCGGGTATTCGTGTGCGTGCACACACACACACAAAACACATACAAATAAATAATAATGGGAAAATCCTCTCTCAAATAATCAGAAACAAATGTAGTATGAAAAATGGTGAGTCTACCCTCAAGTCTAATCCGTGCTTTATTAATAACAAAGCACGGAGTAGACTTGAGGGTGGAATCAATATTTTGAATACTACAGTTGTTTCTGATAACTGTATTTGTGAGAGGATTTCCCATTATTATTTATTTGTATGTGTTTTGTGTCTACACACACACACACATATATATATACATATATATATACATATATATATATATATACATATATATATATATATATATATATATATATATATATATATATATATATATATATATATATATATATATATATATATATATATAGGGTGTCCCATAAGTTTCCATACAACGTATCACCAACGCCATTACAAGCATAACTCCAGCTGTGCTTGAACGTGTTCTTCAGCAGTGGAGGACACGCATTGAAGAGTGTTTTCAACAGAATGGTAGTCATGCAGAGCATATTATATAAATAAAAATGGATTTTCATATAAAATTTATTTTTCCTATGTATGGAAATTTATGGGACACCCTGTATATATAAAATACAGGTAAAGGAAATTACTGTCTAGAACGAATGGCTCCGTCCCAGACGCGAAAATGCCGGCAACTTTAAAACTACCCGCAGACATTCTTGGGTACCTCCAGGGTGTCATCCGCAAATAATAGAGGAACGCAAAATAAAAATCTGTGAATTATCCAGGCGTAATGTACTGTACCTACCTTTGTAGACCTACAGTGTTAGGTGCATAAGATTATATTTTAATTGTCCCTTCCCTAATTTAAATAAATGGACAAAATCTATGGCTTCTATTGATGTATATGGCCTCTATCTACAATTATATCTAAGCTTTAGTACAGAGATCTTGCCTCGCTCCCAGTTTCAATGTGCATCATATCAAGGAGGTAGGACGGACGGACGGGCGCACGCAAGCACACACGCACACACACACACACACACATTGTATATTTTCAGCCACCGGCTGCAACTCTATTAATAAACTGTTTATTATTATTATTATTACACACACACATGAAAATTCCACAGCTTTTAGGCTACTGAAGGCGACTACTTTATCTTATTCATTTCTCGTACTGTAACGGTTTTTATGCATCATGAGCAACAAAGATTTTGAAGTTATATAGTAATGCTAAAACCCAGAGAATGGAAAACATTTACAAGAACAAACAGTACAGTAAATGAACCTTTCAAAGAACTTGCACATGAAAAATTCAAAGATATGGAACTCAAGAAGGACAAATTATTTTTGTCCAAATACAGTAATTATTTTTTATGCCCACTGGTTTATTATACATGACATACTTGTGCCATTATGGCATGTCACTTATCAGTGAAAATTTTTATGGAAAACTGAAAATTTATACCATATATTTGGCAACATACTGTAGTTCATATCAAAAGCTGCATAACTAAGTACACGTACTGTGTAACTGTAAATATATTACAGGTATCATATATCAATGTAAACCATATTATTTAAACATTCATTTATTTTGAATTCAACTTTTTCTTCCACTATAAGAAAATACAAGTAAAAATCTGATTGAGTTAAAAAAAAATACCCCCTCACCCCACCCCCAAATAAATGTAAGTGTCAAGAAATTAAACTCTCCCCCCAACACAAGCTGCAGTTTTCATTCATACTTCTTATCAACAGTTAATGAGGGAGGCCACAACCAGCATGAACCATGAATGGCTGTATGTTTATTTACTGCACTCGAAGCTGTAGTGCCAAGTCATAACTCTTGTCAGTCACCCAAGAGGTGAAAGTGAAGCACTGAGACTTTCATTAATAATGTTCTTTCTATGAATGAAATTTATACTTCAGCTGTTTCCATTTAAGAACAAATGAGCTTCATGAACACAAACAAAAGTGTTTAATTCATAAAAATTCTAATATGATCCTGTCAGGAGGATGAACCCTCTAAAACAGTGGTTCTCAACCTTGTTTGCCCCATGCACCCCTTTCACCATGTCAGAATGTCATTCCCCCTCCTTTCCAAGATTGTCTGCCTCAAAAAATGCATTCCAAATAATATGCATATAATACTGAAAATCCTTTATTTTTTCCATATTAGTATCAGTTTTCCCCCCCCCCTGAAAACCTGAAATTTCCCCCTGGTTGAGAACCCCTGCTCTAAAATTAAAGACCATACAGTACTGTGTAGGTACCTCACTCCTTTGCCTCTGTGGCCTTTGTTTAGAAAACCTATTATGAACACATCAAATGCAACAAGAACAAGAGGTTTCCAATTTGGCCATTGTGTATCCATAATGGATGAAAGCGTAAGATAATTGTTTTCCTTTAGCATACATTTTTTTTTAATTTCTCCCAAAACACAATTCCGATCAACTAATGATTACTGTACCAACTGATCACTACAAATAAAGGAGGTACCCCCATGGTTCTGCACTTAAATGCATTACAAAAATAAGAACAAATAATAAGAATAATAACAATAATAAATACTGATTTGAAGTTGTACAACAATCAGACAAAGAACTAGCAAAGGTAGATCTTGGATACCTCAATCTGTAACACAGCTGGGACAAAGAGACAATTGTATTATAGTAAATTATATACAGTAGTACAGTACATGTACAGTATATGCATCAAGTCTACTACAGTACAGCAGTTGGAAAAATAGTGCATTAACTTCAACAATGACAACTGGTACAAATTAAACAATCAATAAACTTTAAGTTGTAAACAATTCTCATAAAAAAGGGACATTCAGAAGCAAAGATCACCATTAAAGATAGGCAGCTGGCCAGTCTTGACACCACAAGAACATGCACAACCTTGTCCTCTTGTCCAGAATTAAGCACATGTAAACTCAATACCTGTAGGAGGATGGAGGATATACCAATACAGACCACAAACTGCTGTTAATTTTTCAGTACAGTATTACCTAGTACTTCTGAGCCACCACAAAGCTTCACCTGGTGAGTCTCACCATAATTTTGTTACCTATCGGATTTACATTCCCTGCATCAAAGTAAAAATATTGTTGAAGATGCTGTTAAAAAAAAAAAAAAAACAGCAGAACTATACTCAAATTCTACCTAAGGTGTAAGTGTTCTCAAGAAGTGTCTCAGTGAGGATAGTGGGCTGTATGATCCAAGGGGCACCAACGAATCAACCAAATCTGCCCTACCTCACCAGTATTGTCTATATTCTCTAAACAACCCTACATTGTTCTATACAAAGTATATGGGTCTTCCAGTGAGGTATGGAGTACCCTAGGCATTTCTTGCAGGTATAAAGGAAAACTACATACAGGTACTACAGTATCTAATATGAGGGTGAGGTTCCTAAACATTTCCTCCAAGGGCTGGGGGGAGAATATCCAATTTTATATATACAGTGTATGTATATACTGTACTGTATATAAAATACTATACAACACTTCTTATAAGATGGGCACCACTAACCTAGAAATTTGGGGAATTTTGCCTAAAGTACAAATGACTTTAATGCACTTTTAGTTATGAGATCCAGTCTAGGAACTCAAAAAAGAAAATTGCATTTACTGTACAATACAGTACATAGGAAATAGCAAGTCAGCTGCAGCCTGTGTCTTCAGGTATATAATTAATGAAAACCACTACATACACTGTACTGTATCAAACAACACTCAAGTGTGAGAACTAAATGACTCGATCCAATTGAAAACACATTTCAATACTTTATCAATTCATCAATGTGTCTCATATGCAAAAGTCACAGCCTAATAGCAACTTTTTAAGTACAGTACTATACAGTACAGAACAGTATACTATAAAGTATTCAAAGTTGTTTTCTTTAAATTTGAGCATGGAATATGTTAACTATAAATTACACTCGTCACAAATATTAAATTAACAAAATCCTCAAAAAACTGTTTAGTGGTGCTCTTAACCCCTTCACTATGGGGATGCCACTTTTAATAATTTATTTGGGCAATGCCAAAATTTTATTCAGCATAGAAACCCCTGCACACAATGAGTTGAAGAGCTTTACCAATCGTTTTTACCATACACTGAAGAATCAATACAGTACAGTATATGTCTTATTTCAATGTTTTCAATAATATTTTTTAATCATTAAAAATTTTCAGTTTGCCTAATGAAGTATTATAACTACAATAACTAAAAAACAAAAACAATACTGTATAGTACTTTGCTGTATACATAACCAATACAGTGTACCTGTATACTGTAGTGATGCAAGAACACTAACCTATTTCTTGTCTTATAAGTTATAACCTTGCCCTGAATAAGAGAAGGCAATTATTACCTTCTGATAATCATACATCTTATGCTGGAAATGCTAAATCTGAAGCTTGGGTTTTAAGAGTTTTTAGGTTAGATTCTCCCTGAACAACCCAGTGTCATAGGAAAGACTGTACAGGTAAATTACTTTTTTTTTCTTCTCGAGTAAGACGAATAAACAAGAGGTAAGGACAAAAGGACATATTGTAAATATTCAATCACTTAGAAAGACTTGGAACCTAACCACTGACAACAGAGAAAAGATACAACCAAAATTAACTGAACTATAATTCAGTAATTATAACCTGAGCTTGTTAGGTTTGGTCTGACTGGTCCATACAGCCTACCATCATTAATAGTTCTGGCTTGCAGTCTCACAAGGAGGAAATCGTAAAGTATAGTATACTGTACTGTATATGCTTGCTAGAAAATGCCTCAAGGCAGGGTATACAGCACAGTACAGACAACCCTCGCTTTACGCGGTCCCACATTACGCGTTTCCACGTTACCCTGCCGAAACCGGAATGCTCACTTTCCGCGGTGCGTGTACCCCTTTACGCGGAGAGCGGCGCGAGCAGGGTGCGCACAAGGTCGCCCAGTCATCAAAACATTACCGAGTTCTTCACCCACCACAGCCGGCCCAAGTCAGTGATAGTGATAATGATAGTGAGGATATGGACTTATATGGACTTTGAGGGGTTTGACAAAGAGGCCCTGCAAGCCTCTGTGGTGGATAGTGATACAAGTGATACAGGTGAGGGCCAATAATCTGCCCTCTGCCTCGGAACCAACCCCCCATCCCCGTGTGCCCAGCCATCTTTTCTACTAATGTAAGTGTTAAAAAACCTAATATTATTGATATTTCTCTTAATTATTAATTGTGTGTGCATACCATCATAAAATTAAGAAGTTATTTTTACTACAACGTAGGTATTGTGTCTGAAAAAGTGGAGTTTGGGGGTCAGCCCGGTCTCTATTTCAATTAATCCCATATGTTATGTTGTTCACTTTACGCGGGCCGCCGTGGGTTGAATTAACCGCGTAAAGTGAGGGTTCACTGTACTTCAAAATTACTTTCACAAGCATAGTTATTTATTCCCTACTGTCAAATTTGTATTATTTAAATCAAAACAAAGACGAAGCACCATTTTATTACCTGAGATTATGCTATGAATCTATCATTCTACGATGTTTGTTTACTGGGTTCATTGTATGTTGTCAGCAACAATCTACTGCATACTAAGAATTTTTGTGTATCTGAAGTATCTTATGAAAATATACCTTGTAGGGATTGCAGATATATTGTTCCTTATAGATTGAGTATTCATTTAATAATGATTTTTACAAAAGATTGTATAGGTTCTGTATTATATTTGAAAATAAATATTACAATGCAAAAATATGATAAATTGTCATTCCATTTTGTTATTTCAGAACTTATATATTAATAATGTCAGTAATAATCAAAGATATTTCACAAGCTAAAAGTTCTTATGACAGCTGAAGTACTAATCGAGTTTTTCATACTATACTATCCAACCTTTCTACGTGTACAGTACTTATGAGTGCTATGATGGACTGAAGAAGAAATCCTTGAAATTAATGGGGTACTGTAAACAAAACTATCCTAATTTGATAAACCTGACAAAAAACTGATGAACCTACCCTGGAGTATAATAAAGTGTACTGTACAGTAATTGCTTTTCTTTACCCTTGTGGTATGTCACTGTCTTTGGGTGGCCAAATAAAAAATATACTATATAAAAAAATTCAGAATTACGTCTACTTCAGCAGAAACAGACCACTGAGCATTACCAAGCTTGGATTGATCTGCTATAGATGTATATATCCATAACAGCGATAATGTACATGTAGCGTATTTGATTAGGTTGTTCATCTTATATCGTAAATGGTAAATAAAATTATGGTATGCAACAGTTGCTCAAAATATTCATGAGTCTAAAATCATTGCTGGAAGTGTTTGAATGGAGAGGGGAAGCAGTCGTTAAAATAATTATTAAATTGCAATTATTGCAAGTAAAATAAATTTTCTTAAGGTAAGGAGGAACTTTCGTTCAATATATAATTTAGTAAAAAACAGTTACTTTCATGTGTCACTCATAATTAGTTTTGTATTACCTAAATATGGTTTATAATACACGATTTTTCAGGATTAATTAGAAAAAATGAGACTAAATTCAGCAGGGAGAAAGAAAATAAAAGTGGCTTTTAATTTATTTAGAAAACATTTCGTAGGCTGTGGCCTTCAGCGCTAGAAAATTAACAAAACAGCTTGACTAATTGTGCTGACAAATTTTGCCACGTTGTTTCCTACAATGGCCAAGAAATTACACTCATCACTCAATCCTCGGCCATTGGGTGTGACGTGACAAGACTTGTCTATATGATTAGCTTCAGCCTTAACAAAAACCATAACTGAACTGTCTTATGAATACTTATTACACAAAGCTTTGTTCCTCCTACAATTACAGATCTATGATGGCTTTGTTAATTTGCTCAATTAATCTTATACCCTACCCCCCAAAGGATTTGGATTCTTTGAAATAAAAATGTTTTAATGAAAATCTCCCCAAACTTCTGACAAAAACATTGCGATCATTACATACATTTACCCAACACTTAATATCCCTGGTTTCTAGCTGGAACTATTTTGGATCTCTAGCTAGTCTCTGAGGACAAAATGGCAAGTACAGATCTATTTAAAAAAAAAAGGACAAAATTTTCAGCCACCTTGACAGATGGCAACTTTTCCAAATATAAAAGCACTTAACATCTACTCCATTGCAGAAAATTATTATTTAAAAGAGAAATCTAGTTTAAATTTTTCTTTTGTTCCAAAGACAACATACCTGAACTGTATTTAAAATTTTACAGAAGAAAAGTCCATTTACACTCTATTATAGCTCAGATACTTATGAAAAGTCATTGTAAACTGTTTTCAGCCGCCTAATTATGAATACAGCAAACTACAGTAATTAGAACAGTAATTATTCCCAAGAACATTCCAGGCAAAACCATTACACCCCTCGTCTAAACCTTTATTAATAAAACGAGTACATTAAAGACCTCGTCAAACTAGTGCATAACGAATGTGGCAACCCTCTCGTTAACTTATAGCCAAATTATTTCACCTTAAAAATCCACATTAAAAAATATAATTAAGACCTCAAATTATAAATTACACTAGTAATAGAAATTATGTTCTCACGGCTGTCTCGGTTCTTAAAACGTCCCAATAATCCCCTGCCTTGACCTGCACTACATGGCCAGCCAAGAAAATGTACTTTATAACTCATGAAGATTCTAGATGTCGGTAACTTGTCTGTCACATACCAGCAACTGTATGTTATAGAACACTAATCCCCCAAAACACCTGTCAGCTGAGCCATAAACCCCAGGATAATATTAAGAGCAACACCTACACACTACTGGAGGTAGAGGCACAGCTTTGAGGTTGACAATTGACCCAACAGTCACATCACAGAAAGAGAAAACTATACTGCATAAATCTATTCTTTTAAAGGTGTTCTAGCACCTAGTAGTTGCTTCAGGTGATGATGTCATGACGAAGCAGTAGAGGCAGGTAGTAGTTACTGAGGGCAAGGTCAACAACAAATAATACTCACCCAACTCGAGCCTTAAACTACCCTACATCTGAATTTTCCAAACACTTATTAATTCAAGGCAAATGTACACTAACACTACGACCACTACTACTACATCCCGGTTAATAGTGGCGTAAAACAACATTTCCAGAGACATTAACCAGGCTACAACATGATCAATTCTTACACACTTCAACACGAAAAATCCATCTACCACAAATATTTCTATGATCGTTAGCTTGGCAAGGTATCCATTCAACTAAGAAATGATCCTCCTTGCCTAAACACCAACACACTACCTGAAGCCAACTCCCCACACCCAGAACACACCCTAAACACAATCAATCCCACACCAGCTGACACTAGGAGCCATCTTCACCCTTTACCAATGAGTCATCCAATATTTCTCTCTCAGATTATCAATAAACTAATAACTCTAACAACCATTATTTCCAAAAGTTTATAATCTTGCTATTACAGTGAACATCAAGAACATTCATCTGAGTACTTACTTTATATTATAAGAAGGTTACGCACTAAAACACCGTAAATACGTTCGTTCGTTGGTCAAGTATTATTTTGCACTGCCTAACTCTCGCACTGGACGAGACTCCGCGAGATCGATCGGGTGGAGAGGCGGACTGAGGCGATGGTTCTCTTCCCTTACTACACTTCATTTATACTCTATATATCCAAAATTAATGTGTTAATATACCTTAAATCCTTCTATTAGTTAATATATTTTTTTTATTTCTTTATTATCATCCTTTTAATCCATTATGTTGCAGATGAAATATGTTTAATATGATGTTTTTAACTTATTATAAATACAACTGTTAGGTGTTTTCTTAAAGGGAAGGAGAAATACCTTTATTTATATTCATTTCGTGATATATATAATTCATTAAGACAAATATAAGGGAAAATCCTCTGGTTTTTTTTTTTTTTTTAGAAAGTGTTGTAATTTTCGGTCATGTCATGTAGGGGTTGTTATCTAAAGTTATGGATATATATATTTCCCATCAAAAAATACTCCTATAAAAGCAGTATTGTACTTAAGACTTCACTGGGGACACGCCAAATCCTGCAGTGACTCACAATGCTCGTTAACGTTCAACTTTCAAAACTCAACAACTGAATTTTAACTCTCCACCGGTCACATTCTTCCCCTCGTTACTACTATTACTGCTGCTGCTGGTACTGTACTGTATTAACACTATAAACCATAGATTTTAAGCTACTAACATGACCGTAGGAAGCACATTATAAAGTATGAGTACGATAATAGTACACTAATAGTATATTGGTAGTAGCAGTAGTAATACAGTAAAAATAGTAGTAAGAGTAGTCGTAACATTGTAGTTGTAGTAGTAAAAGTAGTAGCAACAGATGTAGTAGTAATAATAATATTAGAATTAGTAGCAATAATAAACCATCATATCTTAATTCGTATAAGTCTCGTTACTGGGACGGTGACTCACACCTAATTGTTATTCTCATGAAATACTGTATATGAATTATTCTCTACACAGACTGCATTGAGTATAATTCTAGACGATTGCTCAAACCTTGTATTTCTAGTAGTAAGCAGCTCCTTTGACCTCTGACAGTAGTCGTTGCTCAATTTAAGTGGCTTGACATTTTACTTAGTAGTCAATAGTCGAATATGGTACCTTGATCTGCCCAGTGCTTGTCCAGTCTTCCATGGAAGGTCAACAAGTTTGGAGACGTAACCACCTGTTCAATAAGCGGGGGTGGTTATCGTCAGGTGGTCCTGGATGGGTTAATGACCGCCAGTTGACACCTATCCTTTGGCCCGCCTTGTTGACCTTGTCATTGACTATTACCACTGGAGAAGGCAGCTAAATAGATAATTTATTATCACGTATATATAAGCAGCACATACAAAGATCACACTGATTACTATTATTTGTATATCTGCACTGTATAAATACTGTATACCTGTACGATCTACGTATTGTCTATATACTGTATATGCTGAACTGTATACCTGCATTTTGTATATTGAAGCTGATTCACTGTAAACTTGTATGGCAACTTTACTGGATATGAGAATCTATCATTTATCTTGTCAAATCTATTGACCGAGGCGTGGTCTCATTACCCTCATACTGAAGATAACAAAAGAAGATTTGACCCAATAAAGTTTATGATAATGATATAGGAAGAACAGCGTGAATATAATATGATTCTTCAAGAGTGATATTTAATGGTAAGCGATGGATATATAGAAGTAGCAAGTGAAAAGGTGAAAGGTGGAGTAATGATGGAATGAATATGGAAAACGTATATGGCACAGGAGAAAGGTAGAGGGATAACTACAGTGGGGAGGAAGAAATGTGTTATTGCCCCCGTATAGGATGAACGAGTGTATGGAGTACTGTATAGAGGATCGGTCCTTTGTGTACGTTTAGGAAATTATTGTAGAGACTTTATTGAAGGAAATATATATATATATATATATATATATATATATATATATATATATATATATATATATAACAGTGCACTCAGGGTGCCTCGGACACCAGATCGAGGTCATATGCCTTGATAAGCATCTAGGCTGTGATGAGCTCGACGTCGAGGATAAGTTTAGCAACTTTCGGTATGCAATAGTTCCAAAAGAGCTATAGTGGTAAGACTGGGTGTGGACGCAGTGGAGGAAGGACAACAGAGGAAGTACTATGGGGCAACTTATGCCTCCTTCATAACAGAGGATTCATTCACCGGCACTGAATAACCAGACATGTTCATCCAGCCATTAATTGGAACACGTAACTGAGACAATGGTGTGCTGGGAGGGGCGAGGGGAGTTATGGACGAACAGAGACGAGTCATGTTAGTTTACGATATTTTTTCTGTCTTACCTAAACAAAACACACACACACACACACACACACACACATGCTATAAAACACTTGATAGTCTCTATTAAGGAAGGCGTGTCTCACATCTCTGTCTTTGTTCAGCACATATTTGTCTGCCCAAAGTCTCGTCCTGGCAGCTTTGGTTGTTCCGTCGCCTGACTTGACCTACGTAGTGACGGTATCCAGGTGGTGACCATAATTGAGGATTGCTGTTTAGGAGGGATAATGGATATGTTGTACGCCCGCCAGGCTGCCAGACGTTGCGTGAGGAAGGTAGGAAAGAGAGGCAAAAAAGAACTGCTAGTCGTTCCAAACTGTCGCACAATACTATGACCAGAATAGATATGATTTTTTTTTAATTAGGGATCTCAATATATTTCAAATCGAGAAATATATGACTAATTACAACATAAGACTACTTTTGATATTTTTTTTTTACTTTCTCAAAGGTAATAAAAAAAATCTGGTTTACTGAATATGCAGAATAACTTTTTATTTGGCTTGAATGTTTACTGCGTGGTTATTGGCTTTCCTTATGATAGATTTAGTTATTCATTGTGATTATTTATTTATTTGACTATTCATTTATTTATTTGCCAGTCCATAAATATCCTAAATGTTATTTTGCTCCAGAGAGTAAGTGTGCATTGTCTTCATACATCTCTTACTTTCTCTCTCTTTCCTTACTTCATCTTTACTTCCTTCATTCCTCCTGTCCTTCACTCGTTTGAAATGAGTAAGCTCTCTTAAGCTCTAGGCTGCCCCACCCACTTAATCCCTTCGACCTCACAGTGCGGAGGAGCAGGGGGAGAGGGGCAAGGGGGAGCGACTCAACCAATGACTCACTGCATCATTGACTCAGGCAATAACAACGCTCTGTAGAGAAGGACAAGGAAAAGAAGGAGGAGGTGGGGGTGGTAAGAGGAGGCGGTGGTAAACAGGATGAAGGGGTTACAGCCAATGTCTCACCGCCTTACCGACTCAGGCACTGGCAACGCTGTTCATTGACTCCCCAGTGATACCAAAGTCACACTGACACACACACACACACTGGCAACGCTGTTCATTGACTCCCCAGTGATACCAAAGTCACACTGACACACACACACACTTTATTTATCGACCTTCCTTGTTATGTATCTTGGTCTCCGTCTGTCTCTTCGTCTGCCTGTATTCGTCTAAGTATCGTTTATCTGTCTATTTCTTTCACCAAATAAAAATGTGTAATTTAACATCGTTTTCGTTTCAATCAATTTCGAACACAAAATAAAGTTCTTGTAATACAGTACAACATACTTCTAATGCGTCAGTAGTATACCACGAAACATAACATGCGGTTACAAAATTCATTATCCATACGTGACGTTATATTATCTAACTGGTTATCTTTGTAGCCACAAATCATTGCACCTGTCCCTATGTGATAGTAAAGTCTATTCTTGTACTGGCCTCACATTAAAAGATCTCCCACATTGTTAGCTAAATAATTATCTAGTTTTAAAACTGAAAACCCTCTATGAATTCTATTATGAAACTCGAGTATATTTTTGGATAAATAGAAAGGTATTCAGTAAATCGTCATACAGGTTTACATTGATTCAGCAAGCATATAGACACTGCATATAGCCACAAATGTAATGGCCCATTACTTTGTATTTTCCGATTGTTGTACCATGCTTGTACGCTTGGCGCCTCGACTGAGGCATAGTGTGTGACGTTAAAGTATATCTTTGTATTGATTTATAAAGGGAGAGTCACTTTTGGCGCGTGAATCAGCCACACAGGAGCTTATCAAAGAAAACGTGGCCACTGGCAGAGCTCATGACGCAGGCTGGACATTGAGTAGTGGCCTTGTAGTGTTCTGAGTGCACTATTACACATTGATAAATACGACGATGATATAATTCATCAGCTTACTACTACTATTTTGACTACAAATACTGATACACTAACCAGGGAGATAATAACGCTAGTAATATCAATAACAGAAAATTTAAGATAAATAATAAATGACACTACGATTGGTACCACACACCTCTTCCCTCCCTTACAGACTTATTGAGTAGTTCCACACGAGCACCGAGGAGGAGAGGAGACCACATGCCGATACTCAACCAAACGGCATGTTGCTATTTACTCGCAAGTTTCTTCCGGGACCTTGAGTAGACGAGTACAGTGTGATCTGGAACTACTCTCCTTTTATTAATATCTCGCAAACCGCTTCCGTCTTTTTGCTTTTCTCACTCTACTCTCATTCTTTCCTGACAATGAGATTTTTATGTAGAAATTATATATACCAGTTTCCCCTGTCACAATCCTATAAGCACAGTAGATAGATAGATACTCAGCTAAATCGCCTTACAAAGTTAATATTGATTCAGGAAGTCATTGACAGTGCAGGTATACATTTAGTAGTGAACAGTTGGGCGATTCAACCAAGGCTAGCCTGACAGTTTATCGTTGTGTGTGTGTGTGTGTGTACCTGCACTGTCTATATGAGACCGGTTGTTTCTCTTGACTGCTCTGGGGGGCGGGGGGTTCCATCAAACTTGTTAGTGTTCTCACTACCTACCTAAGGTGGTGGGAATAATTATATGGTAAATTTAAGTAATAGAGCTGAATTTCCGAGTTATATAAGAGCATTCTGTGATTCCCTTAAGATCTCTCTCTCTTCATGTCTGTGAGTACAGTATATAAATTCACTTAAATCCAATCTTGCAATTAACTAAATTTATGCCAA